GCCGGCAATGATGTGCTGATCGGCAAAACGGAGGCTGGGGCGCTCTTCTGCGTGGGCAACTTGTGCCCACACATCGGTACGCCCATGAGCGAGGGCGCCGACGTGATCGGCGACGTCATCGTCTGCCCTTTGCATGGATCCTCCTTCAAAGTGACCACAGGTGAGCTCCTGGATTGGTGCGTCTCCCCGCCTATCATTGGCCCCTTGACTGGACTGATCGTGGAGAAGAAGAACCTGCTGGTCTTCGAGGTGCGCCAGGGCGGCTTGCTGGGAACCGGCGATGTCGAGGTGCTCGTGGATACCAATGCCAAGAAGGCTTACGAGGCCTGGTACTGGAAGGGCCTGCTGGATGCCCAGGGCAAGGACGACGGCACGTACTACTGAGCAGCGTCTTATTGACTTTTTGTCCTGTCTAGTCGCGAGCTTGGCAAGCACGACTGTGTAATGCAATCACAGTAACCAGAACAACAAGCTGAGCATTGCTGTTACATAACTTTCTGCCATGCTTGAAGTATGCATGCACTTCGAGTGTTGTTGAGCGTCTAGACAGTGCGAGCCTCGACCGGAAAATACGACTGTGCGTCCTCTTTCTTGGCCTTTGAGAGCTTGCCCCGTAAGCTATGTTGTTTTCTGCAGCGGCTCTGTGCCTCTTTTTTGTACCTCCCACGAAGAGAGCACCGAAGGAACGGAGCCATGGAGGCAGCAATTCTTTTGCACTCTGCGAGCGATCTTTTATCTTTGACCACGGGATTCTGCAGGTGGCTTTTATTGCGCCATCTTCCAGCGTAAGGATCTCAGCACTTCTTCCACGGCAGTTACTAAAGCTCACATGCAGCCTGTGAGCAAACCCGTGAGCTCTATCCAGCTCGTACCAGTACGATGGATCTGCTCGCCGCGTCGACTGCTCAGGCCAGCAGCTCGAGCCTGCCAACCGGCATTGCACGGACAACTCTCCGAGGTTTGTTATCGCAGTGATTATACAAACTACCTACTCAGCGGAGTCTTTCGCGACCGCTTGCAGGAACCCAGCCGGAAAGCGGATCCTTCGGGGCGGGGGCGAAGGTACTTGCTTGCCTTGTGGTGTGGTGTTTCCATTCTCGAGTGGGCAGCAGCGTGCTTTGTCGATCTGCCTTCTTCTGCCGGGTGTCCGTATCCGAGTCAGTCGAGTGTCATGCAAGCCGAGGACTCATGGCCTTTGCTGCATCCAAGATTCTCAAGCTTCACAACGGTACCCCTTGCTCAGGCCGCCGCGCTTTGTGGTGCGGCTGCTGCAGCATGCCTGGCCACTCGGAGACGCACCATGCGCCGGGCAGAGCAGGCCCAGACTCTGCTTGTAACGACCGAGATCGAGCGTGCTCCAGCAATGCTGGGACCGCGACTTAAATGAAAAACATGGAGGAGTTGGCCACGCTGCCCAAGCACATGCAGCCTGTGGACATGAACAAGCCTGCAGCTCAGACACATGCTGTGGATCATGGGACGCTTGGCATAGATCATGGGACGTGGGCACCGGATGCAGTGGCTTGATGCTGTGCCTTTGCTGAGGGAGTACCCGGCCTACGTGAAGG